AAAGAGAGTGCGGAAGAGTGAAAGAGAGATGGAATGCTTCCTACCACTCCACCACCTTCCCCTTTTTTTTTTTTAGCTCATACCAGTTGTTGTTGTGTGGGTGGTTAGGTGGCTGTCAGAGAGAACAGCAATGAGAGAAATGAAAATGGAAGCGAGGACAGGCGGAGGCAGGACGAACAACATTGCACAGTGGAAAATGAAATCACAGGGGGATTTCAAAAAATCGTAGCTAGATTTTTATTTTAAAGGATGTTTTGTAAACAATGAAGTCGCATAAAGACTATTAAACAAACTAAGATTTGGGAATAATATAAATCTCCTCAACTAATAGAATTTCATACATTAACCCGTGCCTGATATTGCAAATTTAATACACCTATTTCTGCCAGTGTTCTTGAGTGGGTGGTGAATTGGGGTGGACCATGTAGTGGTGTGCTAGGAGGGTAGTAGCTAGCCTTGCTCTGTCGCTGCTGTTGCTGCTGCTCTGCTCACGATAACTTTAATTTGGCTTAATGGAAATTTTCGCTGGCGCTCTCGTTGTGCTGTTATCCTTAAGCAAACTCACTGATGCTGCTCCTGCCTCGCTCTTTACCTCGACCTCGGCTATTCCCCATTTCCCAAGATTACGAACTGTCCAACGTCCATCGTCCATCTACCATGGTCCATGGTCCCTGTTCGCTGGTCCGCGTGTTAAGTAGGTGACGCAACCGCAAATTTGCGGCTGGCGATTTAATAATGCTAATGGTGTGCGTGTGCAAGTGCATTGGTAGTTGGACATTGCACGTGTAGTAGTTGCTTTTGTTGTTGTTGTTATTGTTGGCGCTGCTCTGGACCGTCTGTGAGTCACGTCATCATCACACGGCCATCGTCGTCATCGTCGAACCATTTACGTCGTCGCCAGCCGGTAATTCCCCGAACCCATAGCCATAGACATATAGCCATATCCCCCCTCTTAGGTGGTGGTGCAAACAAGTGCAAGTGATGCGCATTCATTGATAAGATTTCGTGCCACAACTCGCCGCTGCCAGCTGTCTTTGTATGTTGCTGCCCGTGGATGTGTGGGCATACATTAAGCCAAGTCAAGTTAAGTCAAGACCGCGTTGCCATATATGTTAAGCTCTCTGTGCGAGCAAATCTTTCAATCGGTCAACAGGGGACCCCTCACCGACAAAAGAGGCACAACTTGAGAGCTCCACTATATGGACAACTTGCCACGCTCTCTGTTGTGGTCAAAACAGCTGTTAACAACTGGCCAGAACTTGCAATGTCATCAGCGATAAGCAGAAGTTCCAGAATCGCTAAAAGCGATCTACACCTTCAAATCCCTTAACTAGCCAACTTGAGGTTTGTTGAACCCAACGCTTACGATAGGCTCTTATCTTGGGCTCTGAACTTAACCCCCAGGCCAATCGAAAGTCATTAACAAGGGGGCTTGGTTTTATGGGGCTAATACAACAACTGGTAAACTAATTGATGTGCTGACTACCGATAGATATTAGAAATGTGCAATGATAAAGTAATTTATGAAGAGGTCTAAGTATAGGGGAGTTAGTTATCAAATAAGTTTATTCTCATATGTTTTAAGGTGAAAACTAACTAAGAACTAAAAGATTTACAAGATGCATCCCTTTTAAAAACTTATTCCATTCAGCTAAGCCATCATCTTGCAACTTAAGTTTGATTCTTTAATGTTTCACCTGCGGTACGACGACGACACAAGTCGTGACTGGGACTCAAATTGCTCATGCGACGTGGTGCCCCTTCCTTGGCAGTCTTTTGTTTACATTTTTAGAATACTGGCACCACAACAAACGAAAAGGAATACCAACTCCTCCGTTTCTTTATTCTTTTCCTTGTTGTTGTTTTTTTTTCTTATTTGATTATACATTCTTCATTGAGCAATTTGCGTTTTCGTGTTGCACTTGACCCAAGGAGCCGGCAACAAGTTAAGATGCGAGGGCAAATTAAGGGAGCCAGAGCATCCAAGGATAATGGTATTAATGGAGCAGGCATACACACACACACCCCCTCTTCCTCTCTCTCTCGGAATCGTGGTTTAAGCCCCCTGAAGGCATTTATTTTATGGCTGCCCCAGACACCAGACATGTGTGTGCGTATCCTTCGTTCGCTTACACACACTCATGCAAATATAACAGCGGCTATGTGCTGTATGCTATATGCAACCAAAGCGTAACCAAAACCAAACCAACCAAGTCGCGATTTTCATTCATAAAATCGAAGAGCCAAAGAAAATGGGCAACGAAGGAGGAGGCTGCTGCTGTTTGCTGCGCAGCTAGCGTCTCTGTTGGCTGCCACTGCTACTGACTCTGCCTCTGCTACCAATAACTCAAAAGGCGCGCGCATTTCAGCGCACTTGTGTTAATGTATCTGAAAGTGAAATCACCAAAAGGCGGAGGCCGCCTCCTATATTCCATGTACCATGTATCCGTGCCATGCCGGTCCGGCGCCAACTCCAAACTATTATTTGCCAGGCCACGCGGCCAGTGCTTCTGCCTCAGTCGCGGTCGCAGTCGCTGTCTCAGTCTCAGCCTCAGCTGGCTGCGCTGTCAACTGCTCTGCCTGCTCAATTAAGTGAATTAAGTCTCGTGCCGGAATTTGCACCACCCCAAAAACCCCAAACGAGCAGGCGAAACGACGAAGAGGAACGAAAACAACAACAACAGCATTCATCGCACCATAACCATAAAGAACAATTAAAAAAGCAGAACAAGAAAGGAATAAAGATAAGGCGCTAAGAATCAAGACTGCAACGAACGGGAAATGCCCTTCGGCTTGGGAAAAGGTAAAAGGTAAACAAACGGAATGGTGAAGGTGCGAGTTGTTGCATTTATCAAAACGGATAATGGTTGATGGTGTAATAGAGAAAGGTGTCAGGCAGGGTTTTCATTTTTAATGATACATCCACTCAAATCTGTAGCTTCCTCAAGTCAAAACAACACTTGAAGAAAGATAGATCTTAACAAATCCTTACTGGAAGACGTGTCATCATTTTCAGGGGTTGGGCTTTTCCTTATTGGTTTTCTATGATCTTTAATTAATTTTCTATGGTTGGAATGGGTGATTATAGAGTAAGAAACTTCATTTTCCATATCTAATAAATGTTTTTGGTATTACCAAATATTTTTAAATATTTAGTCTACCTAAAATCAAATTTATATAAAGATCTAGCAGATCTAAACTTACAATCCCCCTATTTTGATATTTCAGAGTTCCTATTTTGGTTCCACCAAATTGCCCGGCGAATACCCCATGACCTAAACGCATTGTAAAACTTTTCTTTACTGTCGAAAGAACTAAGAAATTAATACGGGGCTGCTACGCTGACGCCAACGAAAGAGAAAACGTAAACAGAGCAATGACGCTGACGCCGACGGCGACGCCGAAAAGTTTGTTGCTGTTTTCTGCGGGGGAAGCAGGAGCCAAGAGGGTGTGTGGGCGGCAAAAGATGGACGGGGTTGTGAAGGAGGCGGGCGAGCAGAGAAAGAGCGCAAGCATGAGAGGAGAGCCGAAAAAGAGCGTTTGCATGTAATTAATTAAAAGGCCCCAAAAGTCAGCTGTCTGCTGCCGCTGCTTTTGCTGCTATTTCTGCTGTCCAATTGTTGCGTTGCATTAGACGCAGCGCAGCGGCTTAGCCGGCGACAGCGGAGCTAAAGCCAACTGAGAAGTCAACGCTGGCAGCGGCTATTTAGCATATTGTGCGAATGTGTGCCAATAGATGGCGCTGCATGATGCCTGGCCTGGTCACAAAGTGCGAGGGAGAAGGACTACCTGCTAGCTCAGACGGTCATTATTGCACTGAAAAGCAGGCAACTTTGTTTGTACTAAGACACGGGGAACCCCATAATTACTTAGCACTCAAAGTATATGTATTATTTTGGTCTAACTCACTTGTTTGAAGATAGTGTATACTGATACTGGATTATGAATCTTTCCAAAGAAAAAGTAGACAAATAAAGAGTGTAAGGTTAGATCTTTCTAACTAGTGTCTAAGTTAGGATACAGTTTGAGTCTAGAGAATCAAGACTATATCGTATAAATGAAGAATGATGTGCTTAAAACATTGATAATTGATTTCAACATTACCCAACTTGAGGTCACCTCATTTCTTACTGTGTTTTACGCAGGGGTTTTTGGGTGGGTTAAAAGGGGGCACTGGCCAGCCTGCTGGCTGCACGTGCAACTTGTGCATTGTTTACACTGCTGAATGGCAGCAGCCAGCGAGAGCGGGCATTGTTGCTGTTCTTGGGTTCGCTGCCATGTCCCTTTGTTGTTGGCAACCTTCCTTACTTCTCGTCTCGACTGGCATTATCCTCCTCTTAAGTTTGCATGTCATGCCCCAGAGCACCACCATCATCATCATTGCCACCCACTGGGGCGCACACCCACGCATTGCCAATAAGCTGGCACAAACCACATGTTGAAGCTACGCGCATTTCGCAAGTCGGCGCTGCAGGTGCGGTATGCCACCTGAGAGATTCCCCCAATTGGCGTAGGCTCCAACCCCAAAACTTGCCTTATCAGTCCTAAGACGAACTGAACTTGCGGCAAGTTCAAGTTGCTGATAAGACAGTTTGGAATTACTTAGAAACCGTAATCTCACTTATACGTAAACTATTACAAGGGATTTCCCGAGAAAAATTGGTTGATTTTTGTTGCCAATCAAATAGAAAGTTTAAACTTTTAAAATCATGAGTTCAGTAACTGATTTTATGAAAATTATATAATATAAATTAGGAACAAAGTTATACTCAATATTTAAATAAATATATTATTAAGGTATTTTGTATTTTCTCATTGATGAATTTTTCTGTCTTCGTTACTTTTCACATTTGTTAGACAAGGTAAGACTATCTATGATCACCGAAACTTCCAATATGATAATTTCTTTACCCAAGACCCTAAAACCAACTTCTCCAAAAATACCGAATTTCTTAAAATTATATTTCAAATCCAATTCTTTTCAGATTTCCAAGACTCACCTCAGTGCACATTTTCGGCTGGGCCGTTCTCAGTTTCACAACTTTTATATCCAAATAGATGGAAAACGAAAAAAAAGGTATCGCGTTGGAGTTTATGTTCAGGGCGATAGTACGATCCCTGTCAGTCAGTCACTGGGCGGCGTGGGCGGATCAGAGGGCGGCCAGCAGGTGTCCCGAAGGGTAGCGGGACGAGCAGGCATATGAGCGGCCCAAAGCGGCATCACAGAACTTGAACGACATGGCTGTGCACAATAACTAACTGATCAGATCAAACTGTTTATTTTGTATCTCCAACTTTATAACTGATGTTCACTTTGATTTTGAATATGATTTTCCAGTTGGTTAATATGTACTATATTTCACATTAATACGATGTGTGCACTATAATTTTCCGGGAAACTGTGCTGTTTGAAGTTGATAACTTTGAATTACGCGCGCTAGGCGAACGGCTGGCGTTTACGTCGTTTTCGAATTGGAGCTGTCTAGCGGGCACGGAGCGAATGAGCGACGTGGACCTCGCAGCGCCGTGCTAAAATCACAAATAAAACGCTCGGCGCTCAAGAAGCAGGCACCAGGCAGTCAAAACGGCAGGCACGCACACTAGCGCATAGTAAATGCACCCCTGTACAAGCACAGTCTGTATTTCGCAGTGAGTGCGAGCGGTCTAGCTATATATAACTGTCTCTCTTCCACGACGCGCACTTATGTAAAAAGCATTGAAAATGAACGAGTTTCTGGATAGCAGCGGGGGTGAGAGACCGAGAGAAAGAGAAAAAACAGGCACAGCGAGAGCGAGTGAGAGAACATGGCACACACACAATACAGGGGCATTGCCAGCTGTGTGTGAGGCCGAACGGCGTTGCCAGCCACCAATTTCAACCCAGCACAGCAACGCAAAGCAGAAATCCCAACAACGAAATAACGAACTACGGAATAACGAACTACGAACAGCGAAGCGAAACGTTGTGCAAACCAAAAGCAAACCAAACCAGGCGCTTTGGACTGGCCCGCCGGTTCGTTCGGTTCGATTGTGGGAGCGGGTATTCAAAAGATACAAGCAGCGGTTGCGGCGTTGCCAGAGTTTGAGGTTCAATTTGAAAGTCGATTGGGTTTTTATGATATTTCGGATAGCGATCGGGAGGGTTTTTAAAAAGTGCTAGGGTTGACAAGGTCCTATATTAGATCTGTGGATAAATAAGCTTATGGGCATACAGTCAATAATTTAAGAAAGCGAAAAATAGGTTCTTATGTTCCAGTTATGATGTACATATATAAGAATATTTGTTTGCATAGTATTCTTCAGTATTTTCGGAATGCTATCCGAGGTGTTTGTAACCCTTAGTCATTGTAAGAAATTTTTAAAACATTTTTAAAGTTTTTTAAATATACAAATGTATATACATAAAAACATATATTCAACAAAATTGTTTTGGTACATATATGTATTTAAAAACGTTTCTTCGACATATTGTTTCTATGTTCCATTGCACTCTATTAAGCTCAATCAACTCTTATGATCAAAATGTGAAATTATGCATAAGCCCCAATATAAGAACTGTTTTTATAAGTATAATGTTACGAATCCAATAATTTAATACAAATTCGAAAGATGTGATCATTCTTCCCTAGAATTTTATCCACAATATTCTAATGAACCAATATCAATAAACTTAGCTTATGATCCACCCATTTGGATCAAGAAACCCAGAAATTTTCCCAAACCCGCGAAGAAGTCGTTTCCGTCCCATATGGCAACCCTGTGTCGCACAAACGCTGACTAACAGTCTACACCAATACCACCAACGGCGTATCTCTTGCCGCTGTATGTGTGTGTCAGTCTTGCTTGTCAGTTGGGATTTCGTTTCGTATCGGGTCGTTCGTTTTCGTTTATATAAAGGTACATTTCCACATGGGCACATGCATATGTATGTGTGTGTGTGTGTGTACGAGTGGTATGCGGCGAAGGCAGCAACAAAGCAAACTGAGCCAAAGCGACTGAAACGTTCGCTGCGAAAAGCAAAACTGAACTACGAGTTTTGCTGTTGCTTGTTGGTGTTTCGCTGGCGACGTCGGCGTCGTCTCTTCTTGTCTCTCTTCCCTCCACCTCCTCCTCTTTATTCTCTTGCTCTTGCTCTCCCTCTCCCCTTCTCGTTCCTTCCTTTTTTGTTGAAACATTTTTGTTTATTTCAGCGGTGCGCTCGTATCTGTATCTCAGATGTTGGCTGACTGGTTCGCTCCGCACACTGGCAGTCGTCGTATCTGTATCTGCCAGGTACTTTTTGCCCGCTTCGTGTGCGCTCTGTGCTATTTTATGCGCTATTGCCAAGATTGCTGTGCGAATTTCGCCTTGAAACATTTTTTTCTTTTCTGCTTTTCGCTGCCGAGCTTATCTCTTTTGGCCCAAAAAAAAAAAACAAAAAAATCGAATAAAGTCGCTAAAATAAAATACAAACTACATTTTGGGGCTGAGAAAAGCGCGCGCCAATTCTAATTCGCCTGGCCAAAAAAAAGACCAAAGCAAACTCTACTCTTGATTGAAGGTCAGGCCAGCAGCGCAGGAGAAGTCGGCCAGTCCGTCGCAGGCTGCGGACCAACGCTGACTGATTGTTTTCGAGCTGCTGGCCTGGCTCGGCAAAATGGCATGGCATCAGTAGTAGTAGCACACGGAAAACTCATACCCAAGCCCAAACTCAACCAAAATCCCAGCCCAACCCCAACCCCAACCAATTTTGCGTCGCATATTTTGCCGTATCCTGCTCTGCTCTGCTTCCGTCTCTGCCGCGTCTCAGTCGCTGATGTCATTACTTCGAGGCAAGCGAGAAATGGGCTTTATTTTTTATTCCCCATCGAATCGACAGGGGTACAAAGGTAGTCCAGATTCGGTTCCAGCTGATGACGGACATGCAACTGGTCGAGGGCAATCGCTATCGGTTATCGCCACTAGATAATTAGCGGGGGAGGGCTGACTGTACCGAAGGTTAAAGAAATCTTACTGTACTGAAACTGTATCTAAAACTGATCTTCCTGGGTTTAAGCTATAATTTAGTTGTATTGGAAAGTTAAAAAGTCTTCTATATTATGTAAATATGTACTTTGAGGAATTATATACTGATAAGTTTATTAGGTAATCTGCAATTATGTAATTAGTTTCAAAATGAATATCTTTAACCTTACCTTATTTTCCAATGTCCTGGATGTCCAATATTTTAACTTTCTAACTAATATTTCTCAAAAATCTCGATGAAAATGGTTTATAATGTTGTTTAATGATATAGAAGGTTGATTATTCAGAGAGAGATTTCAAAAAGATAACATAATGCTTATAAAACTAAACCCTTTCGACCCTTATTATTATGTCTTCTTTGATATCTCCTTACATTTTCCGCAGCATACTTTTGGCGTCTCAATCAGCCAAACGATCGATCGATCGATCGATCATTGCAAGTGGAATGCAGAAGTGGAACGAATCGCCCCCACCACCCAGGTATTTCCTGAGTATCGGAGCGTCGGGAGTTCCGTTTGGTGTGCCACTTTGCTTGTTTAGTTTAATTCGTGACGCGATGCAGAGCAGCAAATAAATCAAAACAACGCGCGGTGATAAAAAATCGTTTTTCACGTGAGAGTAAAAGCTCCGTATGCTGCTCTGCCACCGTCGACGTCGACTTTGGCTGTTACAATGCCGCTGGCAGAGCTGTCGGCGATTTGAATATGTTATGATGTTGATGTTGCATGTTGGCCCGCGTCGCCAACTGGTTTTATTTTTATTCTCTATTTCTATTGCGTCTACTTCCGAGTTCAATGCAAGCGACGTCAACAGCGACAGCAGTGGCAGAACCGTCGACCGAGGCAGCGACGTTGCGCAACCGCCCACACGCGCTGCGGCTGCCGTTAGCTTTTCTAAATGTGTGTGTGCGTGTGTTTTTGGCGAGGCTGCGTCGTGCAAATATTTTGCCAGCATTCGCTATTCACACATATGTTGGTAGCCCAGAGGCTGCGCGCCACCCCCTGAGGACAAACAGCACCATCACCATGCCACCCCGCATCATCCACCCCCACCAAACGTGTCCCATTGAAAGCTAGCCGGCACTCACTCACTGGCAAAACAACACACATGTTGCTTCGGTTTAGATTTAGACGAGTTTTGAATGCTGAATAAATGGCCCGAGTGGCAAAAGCAGAAGAAGAAGAAAGAGGGTTGAGGAGGTGGAGGACTTTTCAGCACCGTCATAGCTACCACCACCATCACTACCATTGTACTAGCAACTGCTGCAACATCCACGGCAGCAACATCGCAGCAACAATAGCGATCGTGTTGCAAAAACAGGTGTCCGCTTTGCATAGTCTCTGGCCTCCTCATCCTCTTCCTACTCCTCCTTCACCAATGTTGAATGTTTGGCTTCCATCGCCTGGAAAGCTCTCAATATGGTTAACTGGGAAGTTATCAGCAGAGTTAAGTTATAGTATTTCTGCAAATTATGACTTTATTTGTTTTCGTATGGCAATGATATAATCATCCTGTGATAGTTATAACCATGAAAAGTTAATCAAGATTGCTTAGTAACCCCGCCAAAAGTATAATTAACTAAAAAGGGGGTAAAGAATTTCTCAATAAATTAAGTTAAAGGGAGGAACTTTAGATTAATTTAAGAATCATGCAACTTAAACTTTTTGCCATACTTTGAAAGCAAATCTTCTTATCTTGCAACAAATGCGTCGAATTCCTACTGATTAGTTAATAAACAGCAATAAAGATAACCCAAAATATTTAAATCGCTTTTATGATATTCATTAACTACCAAAAATTAATATTTGGGAAATAATTTAAACTTTAACTCTACTGCACCTGTGCTCCATATTAAATTTTAATAAAGTAATTCAATACCCGAATAAGCTTTTGCTGTACAGATAACCAATTAATGAATTTTCCCAGGTTGTAAATGAAACGAAATGCAATATTTGATTCAATACGAAAATAAATAGTTATGCTTTGCTGTTTTGCAACTTGGTTGCTGATTGGAGACCCTAGCTTTAAATTGCCTACGCAATTGCTGTGATGTTAATTGTGATAAATAATTAAATGATTTGTATCCTGCCATTTAATTACTACCACCTTTTTGAGATATTTTCATTTTAAAGGATTTATTACCTAATTATTGCTTGCATCACTCAGGAACTCATATGCGCGCATATGGGCGGGGGACTTGATGCAACTCATTCGCAAATGAAAAAAAAAAATACAGAAAATAAGAACGAGCGAGCGACGTTCAGTAATCGAATCAATTCAACGCCAATTATACAATCTGTCAACAGGAGCAGGAGCCATCGAAGGAGGAGCACACACAACCTGCAGCGGCGACGAACTCTACGCTCTGAACCGACGACCCTGGCCGATAGCATCGTCCGCAACCGGCTGATAAGAAAGCATTCGAACAGGAAGCACTCGACGCCGTTGTGCCAGGAACAATAATCAACGACAAAGCCAACAGACAACTAACCTTCACTGTGAAAAAAGGAAATAATTACCGCCCAGCAAACCATTTCAAGT